CCCCAAAACCCCAAAACCCCAAAACCCCTTAGTATTAACAATCAACTGAATTTTTACATCTTTAAAATGTAGCTTTGTTCGATCTTCAATTTTCACCCATTAATGACTGAAGTTTGTGAAGCTGAGGTTGATGCTTCTGATCATTCCTCGGCTCGGATCTATGCATTCTTGGCAGCTCTTTGCTCAAACAGCTCATAGGGCTCTCAACAGATTCATCTAGAGCAGCAATGACAGACTTCACTGAGTTTCTGAGGCGTTGGTTCTCGAGTATTACTTTGCTATAATTTGATGCCAGTTGCTTGTTCTGAGCATTAGCCTTTACAATCTTGGTTTGCAGGTCAGCTATTTTGGAGTCTTTTGCATCCAGCTTCTTTTCCAACCTGACGATGTAGTCCTTTAAGTCTGTGTTGCGGCTTTGCATATGACTGAGCTTTTGTTTGTAGTGAGAAACAATTGGATCGTCTCTGAACTGTGCACTGAAAAAGCTCTTGGCTTTGTCCAAGCGATCGGTCTATAATAAAGGTTGCACAACATACATTGTCACTCATCGTCCTTGTGTGGTAGCGTTTGCAAACTGGAGATTGGGCAACTCGGAATCCCATGTCTTGGTGACTAAAGCTTGAGTCTCTGCTTTGTGTGTTGAGTTGTTGGAGTGTTGGCTTGCTTGATAACTGTTCTTGAGCAGATATACTTGACTCCGAAGGCAGGGTTCCAGACCAGATAGTGACTTCATCACCTTCAGGCATGTGGGCTCACTCTCTAATTTTGGGATTCGGAGAACCGTGGTTTCAAAGGTTGTCATCAGGCTAAATCAGTAAGAACTTTTGTAGAATACCGTGAATATGCTAGAGAAGCGTGAATATGTAGAGCTACAATGTTAGAGTGCAGACTTACGGTGAATTTGGAGGGATCTTACACTTGTTATAATTATGGACACTAGACTTCCAAGCCTTATAATCCGAGCTCATTTGCTGCTTTAATTATTTCAATTACTTTACTAAAAATGGGGTTTTGGGGTTTTGGGGTTTTGGGGTTTTGGGG